TTACAGTCTAGGCCTCGGACACAAGAGCGTATCTACTGCTGTTTCAGCATTAATCAGCTTCGGGGATTAAGAACAAAAAAATGTCATACACACACATTAAAAGAAGTAGTATCCAGCCTATGGCCTCTGAACTGTACCCACGAGTACAATTTATTTGGCCCAATCCTTGTTCTGGAAGTCATGAGATGGGGCACAGAGTTGGGCATGAGACCAATTAAAATGTTCACCAAAAGCTGCCAAAGGATCCCCACTCCCCTCTCATCCCCCCAATACATAACTTGAGCTGTATCCATCATATGACTAAAAGGCCAGTACTTCGTATCACGTAAAACACATCTTAATCACAGGAAAGCACATATGCAGGTTGCCCACATGTCAACGTTTCTTGTAAGCTTCTCAAGTACATGCCAGTCACATATCACACCAGTATGGATGCTCCTATTAAGCAGGGGAGTGCACACCTACGTGGCAGTAAAGAGCTCGATCCTTGAGTTCCTCCATTAGATGCTACAAGACTTACTCGAGACAACATGATGCTTAACTGTCTTCAAAGAAGAGGAAGAAAGTTTGAGGGTTACAATCTACTTGTGACTGAGTTTGAAGAAACTATTCCATTCAAAAGGTTCATTTGAGTACAACCTGGTTTTTCCAAGTTTCACACTTTTAACAAACAGCTGAGGTTGAAGCTCATGTTAACAATGTTTAGGAGCCTATTTTTTGAAGACTATTTTTCAGTAGCATTCTTCATCTCCAAAACTGGGTAGGTCTTTAAAAATAAACTTCATAGGAATACAGTGAAAAGGAAATCGTGCAGAAGCATAAAAATAGACTCAGAAGTCCAATAATAAACTATAAATCATTCATTTCCATCACACTTCCAATTTGTTGACTTGAAACAACATTTCTGCTTTTACTAAAGAAAGGTGTTCAGAACATTTAGGGACAGGTTCATTCCTTCTAACCTGAAAGCATTTTAGCTTGCTTGCAAGACAAGGAAATCACAGGACACCACTGTGTAAGTCATCTGTTTTGGCTCAGACTGACTCTAGTACTATCTTGCTGTGCCTGACAGAAGGGAAATAGCGAGGCTGTCCAAGTCCCTTGTGAACTCAAGGCAGATCTCAAACAAGCTTGGGTCCTATTCATGGGATGTCTACTGCAGAACTGCACTCCTCCTTCTGGAAACACATTAAGTTTGTGTCAGGAAGTTATAGGCAACAAGAAGAAAGAGTTGAAACAGGGTGGGGAGGGGGAGGAGGGTAAAAAGAGGTTGAACACCACTATGGTAGAAAACAAATCAAGTGATAGAGGAGCACACACTGCATCTGCAGGCACTACAGGCTTGCTCCTGCCACCGCCAGACCAGTAAATTAGCTTGACAGCTGGATTTTTTGTTGGAATTAACACAGTTCAGATTACTTAACTAGCCTCCAAAATTAATTTAATCCTTACTGTAATCAATATATTGATCAGTCACACTCATCATGTGGCTCCAAAAAAGTAAATATAATTACACAAGAGAATCACTTAGAAAAGCATATAGTCCACATTTACTACAGTAAAGATGAATTGATTGTGTGAATACATAATATGAATGAGCACATCCCAAATCATTTGATCATAATGATAGGAGTTGACTTTGATCCAAGACAACTGGAAAACTGTTTTTGACTAAAAAGATAAAAAGAACCCACCACCAAGAATTTTAATGAGTGTAATATAGAAACTGATTCAATATTCAAAACCTACTTTATGGTCAGAAATTGGTCAAACACGTACATGTCAAAAAAGGACTTCCAATTACAAGCAGTTTATCTTTATTTTACAAAATTTTACTATTAATATGCCTCATTTCTAGTACTACCAGTTAGTAAAATCCTCATGTTCTATAGGGAATCCAGCTTCATAGCCCAACTCACTCCCTCCTGTCATCCCTCTAGGACAATCTCACCACATTACTGGAGGAAATAAATAAATAAATAAATTATCAAATGCATGTAACCATCCAGTGAATAAGGCAGAATCAACAGCCCATAAAATTAAACCCTCATTTAGAAGTATATCACCTTGCTTGTCTTAACAGCTGCAATTACTCTGTATTCTTCTTGCTTTCAGGGGACCTATACAGTTGGAATCTTAACTATGAAAAGCCAGCACAGCCACCTGTATGCCATTTTAAGGCAGGCAAAAGTACAGGGCTAACAGGCATAAGAGAGAGATCTCCCCCTCCAAACAGTAGAAGATCCAAAGCAGGTTGCAAATGCACCAGAAAGAACTGTTGTGTTTAGGTATTCAGTCATCTTCTTTCCCAATTTACACATACCTCCTCCCTGGACCAAGAGAAAAATTTTCATTTCGAGAAATTTCATTTCATTTGGCAAATCTACCAGATTATGCAAAATCTTTTTGAAAACAGTTTCAAGTTTAAAATAAAAGTTTTCCTTGAGCTCTGGAAATCGTACTGCCAACAACAGAATTTCTAGCACAATAGTGGCAACATAGTACAGACTTTTTTAAAACACTGTGTTATGAAATCAAAGCCTATCATTTAGCTATAGAGATAAATGTGTAGCCTTTATGTTAAGAAACAGTGCTTACAGATTACATACTACAGTCAGGCTACTGTCATGTACTCTGTGCACCATAAACTCATAAGCCGAGATTCTGTTATCTCTGGTAAATCAGCACTGATTAGACAGTATATGTGCAGAAAAAAAAATATCAGATTCATAATCAGGCATAAGAAAATTCTAGATTAGTTTTTATAAGAAAAACTAAAAAGTTTAAGGAGAGGACTATATTACATGTCAGGTTGGAAAGCAGAGTCTAACAGATGTTATTAGCTTCAAACAAATCAGAACAGCCATATTAGCTTCTGTTCTGTGCAGCAGGAGACCAGAACAGAAGTCATCCTCTAGTCATGGAAAAGATTGCACAATAGCTAAGCCTTTGTAACAGTATCTGTGGGCTCACTCTGTATGTCTGTCCTGGAAGAGCAAAGACTCAAGTCTTAGCATAGTCATAATTGTAGAAAAAAGCACAAAAAAATAACAGTTCAAGGTACTATCAACATTATCACTCACATATTCATAACACTAATGTAATTCCCTCAAAAAAGTGGATTGCTCCCTTGAGTGCTTTCAAAATCCCCAAACCTTTACACACACTACCACATTTATCACAGAGGTACTAATTAAGCAGTGGAATAGAACCGTTCAAATCTCATTTTACCTAGCTTTTAAGTTGGGTGAAGCTGTGCATGTTCTGTTGCTGCTGTTGTGGAGAAAAAAAAAAAAAAAAAAAAAAAGGAGGAGAGAGAAAGAGAAGTTTCTCCAAAACATGTGTGTACATGTCTAGACACGATACAAGAGTGGCTTACAGAAATTCTGAACGTGAATCAAAAGAATTTTGTTAAACCTCCATGATTGCTACCTGAAAAAATCTACTATTTTACCTTTTGTTTTAATCAAATCTTATAAATAAACTTAGGATGAAACTGTTCTTATGTAATTTATTTTCCTGTGGACCCAAGTAAAATCTATCACCAGAAGCAGTATTTATTAAGACTCCCCAGGAGTACCTGAGACACAATACTAAACTGCATGCTGTACAATTAAGAAGCTTAGCATAAACTAATAGCACTAATATCTCTATGTAGAGAATGAACTACACACTATTATAAACATACATTTTCTTGTTTCTGTCTCTTACTAGCAGCCAACAGAGTGACAAGTAACAAACTCTTCATGAGCGCATCTTTCCTTTAAGCAGAAATGGGAGCTAACGAAACAACACAGCCAGGAGATTGAAAACAGTAACGAGCTACAGTAAGACAGCAAAGAAGAGGAAGAAAAATGGAAGTGGGTGGACAGCATCTGAGCAGCGATAGCAAATGGAAGGGGTGGGAAGGCAAAAAGTAGCAAATGAGTAGGGAAGGAGATAAATGAGATGTGAAAAGAGACAAAAGACAAAATTACCAGGAGTTAGTCTAAAACAGTGGTTCTTAAATCATGGCTCAGCCAAAGGAAATTACAGTTAGCCTGAGAGGAAGAGTAAATTACAATGTTGTTGTCAGCATCTTACTTCTTGTGTGGTTTTGCCAAGAGTCAGCCATGGCTGGGAACTGCTGGTCTACAACATGGCCAGTGCAAGTGCTGTAATGACTTTGTTAGCTAGGTGGCTAATGAATAGAAGGAATGATGCAGCAGAGGGTAAGCATATGGAAATGGAAAAAGGAAGGAAAGGAGAGTCACTGGTGAGATCAACTGGAAATCATATTGAGCCTTTATTGACTGGTCCAGAACTAAGATAGCTACCACACAAGTCACATTTAGTCTGAAGCACTATGAAAGCTGGAAAGCATTTTGTTAAACAGAGCCCCAAAACCTTCTCATGAGTTGAGGTGAGCTCCTGTGCAAAGATACGCAAATTACATAAAAATGAAATCTGTGATGGACACAAAGGTTTCATCCAGCAGTCTTCAAAGATTCCTGAAATTGTAATTGACAAAGAAAGAAAACTCTAGATAGGTAATACGTGCAACGAAAGGAGAACTGTGATGGCTAGGGAAGTGCCCCAAAGTACAACTGCAATGCTTTAGTTTATTTTAATTTATTAAAGACATTAGCCACATAAGATAATGAGCTGCCCTTATATTCCTTGGTCTGTATAATCAGTACAATTAGAATCAACGTGGAAAGGGAAAGAAAGTTTTCTTAAGATATCCATCCTAATTGACCTTCACCAAAACACAACTAAATACAGAAGAGACTTCAGGTATGGATGGACACAATCTTCCCCTCCCCCCCAAGTTTATCCAATAATACAAGTAAGAATTATGTCATGTTTTACAGGTTTTTATCATTAAATATAGTGTAGCATTAGGCTGACTTACATCATGTAGTTAGCTCAAAGGGAACCTCTGAGGAAGTTAAAGGCCTGTTTTTACTGAAAAACACTACCAGAAAGACAGAAGATGTTTGTATAAGCTGAAAACATACCGTGAGTGTCTCTTCTGTACTTCTTTCTCTTTGTATTGGAGCAACTGGGAATTCAAGAAGGGATTTTACTGTCTTCCTCTTGGCTTTTTCCATTTGTATATTAGTAAAATAGTTGACAGCAGCAAACTCAATAAGAGCAGAGAACACAAAGGCAAAGCAGACCGCGATGAACCAGTCCATGGCAGTAGCATAGGATACTTTTGGCAGTGAATGTCTTGCACTGATGCTCAGTGTCGTCATTGTCAACACTGTGGTTATTCCTTCAAAGAAATAAAGCAAAAGCACTGTTGAATCTGAGTAAAACAAAGTGAGAATAGGCAAGCAGCTTCAAACGAGTTTAAATCACCTAAGAGTCTTCCTCTGTTGCTTGTGAATACTGCATTAGGTTTAAGTCATGGCAACCATCATGTATTCACGAGCAGCTATGCACACAAAACATTTAACCAGTTTTTAAAGGAGGCATAGAAAGCCATGACTTCAGCAGATCATCTACAGTTCACATGAAGAAAATGTGGAAGCCTTAATTTCAAATTTTTTTCATGTTAAATTCAGTAGAATTTCTTACAAGTTATTTTCTAAACATTTGAACATGATTTAAGTTGTTAAATAGGGGAGTGCTCCTCAGACTGCAACAAAAACATGGGTTTTCCTGTAATGGGTTCAGAAAGCCACGTATTAGTCTGCGTCTGTTCCTCTGATCCCACTCATAATCCAGGTGCTATTAAGTCATGGAAAATTATTTTGGTGCTAAGGAAAACTAGAATATTATGTTAACAACTCTGTTAATTAAGAAGCCATCATCTTATCTTTTAAACCCTTCTGCTACTAGTCAACCGATGAAATTTAATTAGAATTTCATCTTCTGAAAGAACAACTTTTAATTAAGGTGCACAAGCATGAACACTGAACTCAAAATATAACCACTTCATGGTAATACTTCAAATGCAAATATATGCTATATAAAACCAAGGTATGGGGTCCTTTTTTCCTTTTTCATCCAAAATATCCCGTATCATACAAATGTAGAATACCAAGTATATAGTGAACACTGCATAAATCCTACTACTATAACCTCAGAGAAGATTGACTACAAATGGAGATGTCTTTACTCTTATGAGAAGAACACTGTACACATTTTAATTCAAGATGGAATGCATATGCTCAGAAGAATTCTAAATAATTAAGAGCATGTTTTCCAACAGGATCCCCACATTCCCTATTCCCTAAATGTTAGTATTCCATCTGGGTAATCTGATATGAAAAAACTTCACCTAGACACTGCCATGCAGAGAACTGGACACAATGAAATGAACCCTTCACATTGAAGACAATAAAAAAAGAGTAATTATTTGTGCTTGCATGAACTGGCTACATCTCAGAGCAAACTCAGCAGGATCAAAACACAGATGCAAGCTCACAAAGCATTCTTCAGTGGGAAGGTGTTGAAAAACACACCACTGAAAATGTTTAAGTCTGAGAAAAAAAAATAAATTATGGAAAGTTATTTTTTTTTCCTGGAAGAGACCCATCCTGTTTAGCCTATTCTTCCTGATTCTACTTTTTTCCACTTCAAGTGAATACTTTGTCTGAATTGTCTTTCTAAAGACATTTGTTTAATAGATGCAAGAATAGGCTGAAGTAACACGAATGACCAACCATTCCCCAAATACAAGGAGAGGGGAGGCCATGACAGTATTACAGTTTGCAACTATAGTCTTTATCAGATTTCCCCCTATTAAATCATTCTTCTAGGAGGCCTGCAGTTGCCACTGCAACTGTCCTTGGATATGTGCCATAGGAATTTACAGGGCAGGTAAGTAAGTTCTGGTAAAAAATATTATATATACACATGAACTGTAATTATCCAGAGCTAAATACTTGCAAGCTTCTGATTAGAAATGCACATAACTATAAAAATGCACTGAGTATTTTAATATCAAAAATAATGTTAAAAACCTGTTTTAAAATTACTGATGCCTTTCCTCTAAGAAACACCCATCTCCCACAATCACTAGATTCAGGTGTCTGAAGCTCTCACTGCAGAAATCATGACCTGATGTACCTTAGTTCCTTGTGTATCCTTCCTCTGTTACCTTTGCCAAGTTCTCCCTAATCATGCAGTCTCAATGGAAAGATCTTTTGGTTAGTCTCTTCTGACAGCTCCTCTAAAAAGCTGGTACCATAGCATGTATTCTGGCTTCATTCCTACCCTCTGCCTGCAAGATTTCTATCTTCTGTTAAGAAAACCTTTAAAAAATAGGGTCTCTTGGAATTTGTCAGAAAACTAAAAAGATACTTTTAGCCACACCTTAAGCCACTTGCTTTCAAAGGCATTTTAGAGACTTATCTGGAACTCAGCGGGTGTCCAAACTTTATTATTACTATTTGCTTTCAGTTTCACATATGGCTATAATGACACATATTACATCTGTTGCGCTATAATTTGTACATTTTCAATTATCACATTTTGTCCATAAATACAGATTCTGCCTTTCCAGTTCATGGTATTACTCCCTTCAAAAGAAGTACCATTATTCAACATCACTGTAAAGGCACATGAAGTGATATACTAGTTTGCCTAATGTAGTATCTGAGTTCAGACCTAGTGGGGTTCTTATTAGGTTTACAGGTTGTTTCTCCTATAATTAATCATTAACCTTGTCTAATTTGTGATACTAAACAGCGTTCTGCCTCCACTTCCATGTTTGAATGGGCCGTCACGTAGAGACATTAAATCCTATCACTCTTGCCAGCATCTATCTATCTATAGAAAGGCTTTTTGTAGAACATTCTCTTCCTGATTAGTCCTGCTTTAGACTACAGTACATTATAAAGTCAAGACACTGCTCTATAAAGACTGTTTTTAAAACTGTTTTTATCCTACTTCTTTGTTTGGAAATCGTATTTCCATTTAATTTCTTATGTTTTGTCTTCCATAGAAGCCTTTTTGGTTTTTATTTTCAGAGGTCACTGTAGCATCTCATTCAAGCTGTTATTTTGATAACAGCAATTTTAATATCTCATAATCATTTGCTTCTTGAGTTCATTTTCATAATGGTAATGGCAGAAAGGAGAGAAGAGCACTAAACACAAAATTACAGTAAGAGGATCTAAGCCTTAGTCATAGTAAGCTTCCACTGATGACACAGATATCTCATAAGAAGACATCTGTACATCTTGCACACTCCCAATCAAATTATTTTCAAAGGGTATTAGAAAGTGTGAGTTCAAGTAATCACACTACTGTCCACTGGAGGATAAAAGTGCTCTGGATGTAGACTAAGGACTTAACTGCATTACTCAGGGCCAGGTCTTCCCAGTTTGTGCCCCCAAGCAGGTAGAATCCCCAGAGATGTACACTCATTTGCCATAGGCAACCATGCCACCATTCAGGTTATGTACTTCAAGATTCTCTTCAGATTACAGGGATTCACATAACAACATTCTTCAGACATTGATAGCAAAAATTCCTCTGAATTTACCTTATTCCTTCATTTCTGCACTAGAATGGAGACAGTATATCCCAAATGGAACTAAAAAGGTCTATGCTAGTGAAAGTCATTAAAATAGCAAGTACAAGAAAAAGTGAAAAAGAAATAATTACCAAACACAGTTCTAGCTGGAACTGATTCCTTATTTATCCAAAATGAAACTTGAGAAAGGATCACGGTCATAATGCATGGGATATAGGTCTGAATCATAAAATAACCCATCTTCCGTCTGAGGTGGAAGTAAACTGTCATAACAATATATTCACCTAAAAAAAAAAAAATAATATTTTTCTGACTGTGCATAGCATTTGTATTGCAGAATATCAGGCTATCAGCTACAGTTGTTTAAGATCATGCTATTCATACCACTTCACATGTATAGAAAGATAGGTTACTTAACGATAAGAATGAATGAAAGCTTTAAACAAAAACCCTGGAAGTAGTAGGTCCTTACAGTACCATTCAGAAGCTGATATAAAAAAATACTATAAACATACAGCTAATACTGGATTACTTTTTACAGTATAAGCATGATTTAAAATATTCTTTTGGCAGCTGTTGAATAAGAGTCCCAAGACACAAGCTATCTACTACCATAGTATCTATAACATTGTGATACCTACTTGTCAAATGAAACAACAATAACAATGGTGCACATTAAATGTTATGGAAGATTCTCAGCTTTTTACTAGGTTTGTGTGTCAGCACCACCACTATGATAATGAAACAAATGCAAAAATTATTAACAAGAACTAAAAATACTGTCAGTTTATCTAAAATGTTATCATTCATATTAAAAAAATTATGCAGTTTTAACATAAACTGATTATCTAAATAAAGCACTACAGAATGAACATTTTGGGGACAGTAAGAAAATTCTGTTGTTAACTTATATGCTGAGAAGTAAATTTCTAGTGTCTTGCAAAATGCTGTTTTATCTTTGAGAAAACTATCCATGGAGCAGTACATCAATTATATTTGCTTTATCTCTTTCATTTTGACCATCTCGCAACACACAAACTTGCTGATGCTTAGAAAATGATTCCAAATTTTAAAAATATTTTGGGAATATGCTTGTTTATCACCACACTTCTCATCAGTGATACTTCACTTATTTCGGATGACTGTAGTTGCCATTTGCCTTATTTCTTACAGCACAAATCAGCAGAAGTATCTATTGTGACTAATGCATTTGTGACTATCCTTATCTGACTAGAGGGTTTTTATGGCTTTAATAACCCATTCTGTATGCTGCACTTCTCTCCCGAGCTGTTTACACCACCAAACAAAGGAAGTCTTTTGCACATAATGTGGATACAGTGCTGAGAAATTACTTCCTCACCCAGGCATCCTCTTGACTCTTCAAACTGCATTTTAAGCAGTGATTAAGTGCTCATTTTGTCCCTTGGAGTAATGATCTCATTCTAGCTTTCTGAAAGACCGTCGCAATCTACTGTAATGAATCTGCAAATGTAAATCTGAAGGACAGAAACCTAATTCAGATTTATGCTCTCAGCCCTTAATATATGCCCTACGACATTTAGTAGAATACCTTACAGGAAGGAAATAAAAAAGCCTTGGGCAATGTTACAAGGTTAGTTTTACCTCAAGTTGATGTTTTCTGATGAGATTCCTACCTGTAATAGATTTAATGGTTTCAGTGGATACCGTATGCCCAAGCAGGTCATACTGAACTAAACTGGAAGACTCCTCAGGAACTTCCACTGACTTCTCAGGTCCTTTTGTCCAGGTATAAATCATTTCACTCTTTGGATAAGCATCTACAACACAGCATCAGTTTGCATAAATAGGAAACTTCTTCTCACACCTTACCAAGAGCCCAATCCAAATCTACTGGAACCAAACAGCAAGACTCACACTAACTTTAGAAGATACCCTTCACATGTTAAGCTACCCCCCAAAAGCCACCCTTGAAGGAGATTATATAGCACCTAAGTTTACATGTCAAGTGTCATACGCAAATTTACTTCACATTTGAATGTGAAATCTAAACACAAGTTCCTTCTGAATCAGCCCTTACTGGGCATGTAAAGTTTATCTTTAAATTATTTTAGAAATTTCTATCTAAAATTTTATCATTAAAATATACTAATATATGAAAAAAAGCATCTATAAGGAAGACACATTTTGGAGACTGGGTGCACATTCCTTTACAGAAAAGAATTACTATACTAAAAACTACAGTATACTAAAAACTGTAATATTTTAAACTTGTGTTTAAAATATTTTCCAAAAACCAGAGCTCAGTAAAAAATTCACAATAACCCAAAAATAAGCACACCCAAAGAAACATTTAATACAAAAAGATATAAAACATAGGGCTAGCATTCAATCCCTACGCAGCCCAAACTCCTGTTAAAATTAAATTAAATCAGTCTTGCATTTGAAATGGCTACATCTTATTTCAGGTTTCACTGAGGAAAGTATCAGATTAGTGTCAAGTGCAATTTCTGCTGGCTGGTGATTCTGTCTGAAGAAATATGCCTGTGGAGAAGTCCCCACTATTAAAGCTCCTCTATCATACAGCTGATACCAAAGCCAAACCTGGCAGCACCTGGTCTCCAGTCTCACTATAATGGGTGCGAAGAACCTTATCAGAGCAGTGTCTTTAATATCCTCTTTTTGGTTGACTACCCAGCTGTTCAACAAATTTATGCTAAGGAAAGACTATGAGGAGCTTCCAGCCATTTCTAACTTCAGAGCTCTGAGGTCAAGGAAAACAGATTAATGTTCAGCCATCGACTACATCTGAGTGTAAAGCAGAGAAGTCAGTGACCAAGGAGGCTTAGAAAAGTGACAAGATAGTTAATGTAATGCACAACCATCTCCAGGTAGTCTCAGAGGTCTCTGCTGCGGATTCAAATCAGGGAATCAGACCTCCCTCAGTTGTTATGTAGCACGTCCCTGAATGTTCCTTCCAGCCAAAGTCTGGAGATTATCCAAAAATTTATTTCTGCTTTGAATTCAGACAAGGAAAGTGACCTGCCCTAAGATTCCTCTCACCAGTTTAGAAATTATTTATCTAGTCTAAACTTTACATGCAGGCTCCCGTTATAGACCAGGAGACAGACAAATACAGCTAAAGATCAAATCTCTGCACATAACCTACCTATTTTAGGATGTCAGTGTGCCTCCACTACCTGTAGAGAAAGTCAGATGACCTGCTTCCCTAGTTGCTTTTTACCTGCCTGCTGTAAGTTGAGATGGATCCCACCCTCTTTGTCTTCTCCAGAGAATCTCTCACTTCACCGAGTATCGAATTCCTCCCTAAGAATCAATAAAAACTATGTATTTCAAAACAACTGTGTAGCCAGAATAGTGGGGTTTAGCGTAATAGCTGAATCACTGCCTGCTTTTCAATTCTCTTCCTGGGTTTAATTTTTGAGGCCCTAAATAAAATTCCCAAGGAACTTAACAGGAGTTTTGTCTGCATAAGGATTGTGTTTCACAACTAATATTCAGAAAGTTTAGTAAGTGCTCAAAATCTACTGCTACTATTTAAATTCTGTAGTTACAAGAAATTTCATAATTGCAACTTACAACTCCCAAATTTGAGAGGACAAGCATGACCATCCATGGGAAAATCCACTAATCTCATGGGACACTCTGCACTTATTGTAAGCCTATAATGGAACAAATTAAATAGTCTCTGGTTGCCATTTTGTCTAGGCAGTATAACTTTTGCATACAGTAATTGTAAGAAGCCGAACAAATACATTAGATACCTCATTGTGTACAGGATGGTGCCATTTCTCATTATTCTGAAGAGTTTATTTGGGGCTGTCATATTATGTGCAACAGACTTTTTCCCATTCCTGAAGAAAGTGTCAGGGGTCCACACCTTTGAAACCATCAAGTTGTTAAGTCTTAAAATTTCAATAGGGCCATCATATTTTAATCTTTTGTCTACCCATGTCTGACGGAAGAAGACATCCATTGTATATTCCTGTATTAAATTGCAGAAAAACAAAGATCACATTTGCATGTGTGTTTCCTGTAAAAAAAGGAAAACCCTCAGAAGCAAAAAAATCAGTAGTAAAAAAAAAATGCTAAGTCCACTACACAAACATATTTCCACCAATTAAATTATGTTGTGTACTTCTTAATAGCTTAATTTCCCACATTAGTCATATCAATAAATTGCTACACATATTTAATCATTAAGGAATAATTAATCTAATTAGGTTGCAGGAAGCAGGCAACTGAATTTGTAGTCAAGCATCTAACTGGAAACAAAATGATCTCTGACAATAAGTGTCAATAGATTTTTAAAAAGTTATCCATGGATTTTTTGCTTCTGGCTGAATTAAAAATACCAGGACAAAAGGCTACTTCCACTTTCAAGTTAGGAAAGAAAATTTAATTTCAACTTGTGGAAACTAAATTTTTAACTGAGGAACACTAAATATTTCCTTTGCCATGCCCAAAAAACATGGGTAATAAATTATATAGAGACTTGAATATAAACACATTTGGTTTTAACTATGTAACTATCCCATTAACTTCCTCAGAAAAGGCATTCAGATGCTCCATAGAGAACATGCAAACACAGGCACATCATGAGAAATCACAGGTGAATGAATGGATAAAGAATTGCATTTTTCATCTTGGGAAACTAAAGCATTTCACAAAAAAAAAGCATCATGTGGCATTGAAAAGGGTAACAGAAAGATTTTAGTCCTTTCTAACCTACAGCTGTCATTTTCTGACTTTATTTCAAACTCTTCTGCATAATGTTACAATTGAAACTACTTGTATGGCCATATCAGTTCACACTGGCAAGGAAGCATGTCTACTAGTGTAATGCATCTTAGAATTACATCTGTCTCCTTTTCCATGGCCATATCCTCCACAGTGATTTATAGTTAATCTATGAAAAATCTCTTTTCTAGTATCATTTATTGCTGGTGATGTCACAGCTCATAAGTAGCAGTTTCTGTTATTAGCTTCTACATGACAGCATTTTCTAATATAATATTTCAACACCATTTTCATTACACTGGGTACCAAAGTAACCCAGCTCTAAAAAAAAACCTTCTGATCATTCCCTGTACTGAGGCTATATGAGTGCAACCACTTTCAGATTACATTGGGTCACTAATGGATACATGAACTAAAAATTATTCCAAAACCAATTCCTGGATCCCTGAATAGCCTCTTAATTAATCCCTAATGCTGAAAAGGGAAACATCTGCTGTAAACTCCCCTTCTGCCAGTTCCTTACCTACCTTCAGTCCATGTTCTCATTCCTGCCTTCTCCAATATAACTTCTAATTTCCCATGTGGCACCATGTCAAAGGCTCCAAGGACACCTGAGAGATGCCATGCAGCCCTCATTTTAGATTTGAGGCACACATTATTAAATTTCCTTGGGACCAGACTCTTTTACCTTTTGTCACACTGAAAAGCATCATACTGTACATGACAACCATGGAAGGGGTAAGATGGATTTCAACATGAGACTACTGTCATGAATGTAGCCCTTGAAAAAAGACCTTGCTATCGCATACCCTTCCACATGATAGCACCAAATCAGGTGCACCACAAAGTGCATGACAGCACTGTATGGGAAGAAAGTTACCGCCCTGAAACTGCCTTTCCCCTACAGAAGTTCAGTTCAGGACATATGGCTGTGTTACTTCCATGGGATTTCTTCGATGTTTTATAAAAAGAGAAACTACTGTATGATTTAAAGGTATACCACTGGATTATAGAAACTGATGGGATTTTTTGCTGGATTTGACCTCAGATGAATGCAGATGCCGTTCAGGCACAAATAACAGTACATGCAAATGTAACATTTCTCTTCTGCGATTATTTCATGCCTGTCACTTTGACGTTCCATTTCTGCAGACACTTATGAAAACTCTTATCAGTCAAATATTTGCTGAAAGTGATGCTAAAAGGGGCACAAAGATCAGCAAAGGGAATTAATCTGAAATGAAAATGTCAACAAGTATTTGTGAAATTATGTCATTATTATTCACCTGAGAATAACAGAAGTTTCAGAAAGGAAAAGTAATTTCAAAGATATTACACATTTTCCCCACAGTAGACTAACTCAGATGCTCCCCGCAAGGCCTGATTCTGCCTCTACACCATGAAAGTCTGTTTTAAATCCTATGAAGTGAATTCCTTAAACCAGCCAAACACCAGTGAAAGTGTGACCAGAATCAGGCCTGATGTATCTAATTATAATCTGTAAATTAAGCTGTTACTAATCTTGCCTACTTTGCATGATTGACAGAACAGTACAGATGAAGCATCCACTCCTTACTGCAGTTAAAGATTTCTCAGAACCAGGAAATGGCATTTTAATCCCAAAAATACATACCATTTCTACATCAGAAACAGGTCCAAAACTGGTGACATATATATCTGTTTTGACTTCAGTAACAGGACCTAATGTATGAAAAGGAAGTGAGCAAGAAAATTTGAATTTTGCAGGTCAACAATTTCCATAAATGATCCTGGCATGTGAACAGTTATCGCTTTGAGGGTTCTGTGGACGAGCAAGAGCAAAATGCAAACACAGGTCATTTCAGATAACTCTCTAATAGCAAGCACTGCTCAATTACCTTCACCATGTAAGTAAAACAAAAGCAGAATTTCCATGCAAATCCCCATTCAGAAAACCAATGTTGACTAAGCGGATAAGAAAACAGATGCCAAAAAATTAAAAGACTCACTGAAAACACCATGCTAATTAACAACAAGCACTGAATTCAGGAAATCCACATTCCCCAAGGCATTTATCACTAACATTTGGTCCCACTGGAGATAACTGGGCTACAGGTATTAGCATGCCATGCACTGGTCAATTTAGTACTGCAGGATCAAGAACTGTGTCCATACCCTGAGAGGTACTTATGTGCTCTAATACTAGCAATCAAAATAAAAGTTGGATATCTAGGCATTTTTGAGGGTCTGAACCTAGGTCCACATGCTATTACAAAGTCTGGCTTGAAAGAGCTAGTGATACTTAGGACACTGTTTAAAACAGTGCACCAAGCAGAGGTCTTACACTCACAGCTGGGTACAGTATAGCAACCATCAGAGAAAGCAGTTTTGTTTTAACCTATAATTTCTTTTACTACAGGACAAAACACCTTGAAGTTTCAGGTGGTCATTCACTCTACAGTACACTATACAGTCCCCCTTAAACCAAAGAACACAGGTACTAATTCATTTCACTGGGATTTAAGTCTGTTCCCAATGTAAAAGGCTATAAAGCTGCTAATCATTACCAGTTATTGTGAGGATTCTGTGATCAAAGCATTAGCTAATGGTTTAATTCAGGTAATTAACTTGCATCATAAATTAAAAAAAAAAAAAAAAAAATCTACTGATGGTTTTACCACACAGTATCTATTTGAAAAAAAAAGTATGATCTACAAATTCACAGCCACAGTTTCTATACCCCTATAATTCTAATTTCTAAAGAGGATAAGTGGCTTGAGTCTGTTAATTCAGGCTTTATCATAGTATTTGCAATCTAAAAATGAAAGGAGGAAAGACTTAAGACTGTTAGCAGCAGCAGAATATGTCTCTTGAAAAGAAATAAAAAATTAAAAAATCATTGTTCACAGATGTCACTTTAAATCAAATGTTAAAAAGAAACAAGCAACTGGAAAACAGGGAACCTATCTTTCTTGCACCTAGAACAAGTGTCAAACTGTGACCAAAAAGTAGACCAAAACCGTGTAAAATTATTTCACTAAACCACTTGCAAGTTATACAGAGAAGAACACCTAAGAATTTTTCAGCTAAATGTCAAAAAAATTACTTTGCTGGAAGTTAACAGTTTCACAGAAGGATATTTTTTCGATTTAAAACCTAAAGAAAATTCACCCTACAACAGTTGGTAGCTCAGCAGTCCCTGGAAAGTTGGATAGTTTAGCATATCTGTCTTGAAGAGGTTTTAAGAAGAAACTCCCAAGTTCCAGATAACACACTTTCATACCATGCTGTTTTGCAGTGGATTGCTTTCTAAACATGTCAAATGGAAGCTGCTCCCCCTTCTGCAAATAACAAAGTGTTCATTAGCTCAGGGAAATCCACGACTGGTTAAAACCACTCATTTTATTGACAACATAGTTCAATGACATTTCCTGAATATAGCTCTTTCTGGAGAGCTGAATAGCTCCAAGAGATTGGAAAAATTTATACTAGAGCTGTCAAGATACTGGAAATGAAGACATTCATCTGCAACGTTAGAAAATAAGGGAGAGAAGTCCAATTATACTTGTACATAGAAATAGAAGAGATCCAATTATATCTGACCTCCCATAATCACAAGACGATCATTTACCTAGCTTTGTTTTAAATATATGAATATTTATTTCACCTGAATTTGGAATGCTCCCAAAATCAAAGTTCTGTAGAAATTAAAAAGTCACTTTCCTCCGTATCTCTAATAAGATGCAGGAATTAAGTGTCTGTTACTCAGTAACAAGAATACTGAATATTATACTCAGTTCTCGAACCCTTTTCAAGAACTGCTTCATTTGTTAGTTCTAAGAAACCAAACAGGAATATTCCTCAATAAACCCTAAATCTTTAACTGCTTTCCTCTGGCGATATCTTATTTTCTTTAACTCACAGAACACTGTAATTTTATAATCCTTTCAAATTGAGCAAAGGGACAGATTTTTCCCACAGGCATGAGCTGCTTCCCTTCAAGCATTGATTTCTTCTCTTTTATTAAATGATTACGGCTTCATGGGCAATAAGTGTTCAGAGGCTTTTTGCAAGTTTATTTTTTTGGAGTTTCTCAGAAAGAAGGGGAGAGCTAAAACCAAGAAGCTAATCTTCAAATAGGTAAGCCTATGCCTCAATGCTATTAGAAATCATGTAACAGCAGCGTAAGACCAAAACTAGAGTTCACTGTTCAGTAACTGCTATTCTGCTCTCAAGCCTTTATTTATGAGTAGGACCCATGAAAAAGAAGGAAGCAAAAACTCTCAAACAATGAGTCCACAAAATAAAGCTGAAAATTAAAGTTTACTTTTGGCTGCTTGTTCAACACAATGGTGGTACAGTGACAAAACAAATGTTAAAAGTGGCGGTTTAGGCCACTAGAAAACGGCAGATGAATGAGGATCTAGAAATACTTTAAGCACCCTAACAGTCATCCAGCCAGTACTGATGTGCAAATCCTTGCTTTGCATCCAAAACCTTGGTCAAACAGTAAAATGTTTGGTAGGAGTGAAGACATCAGCAGGAGACAGTGAAGCTGATTATCTCCTTAATGCTTGTTCTCCAATAGCAGCCCCGTCGTGCTCCACGTCTTCCACCTACATTGTCAGTTCACAACTGTTAAGGCCAAATCTTGGATTTTCTAGCACATCCCAGAACTTAATGCCAACCCAGAGGTATCTATGGCGACACCAAAACCTACCCCCTTATTCTTCTTGTTCTAGAATAAAACATAACTCCAGTTGGAAACAATAGCAAGGCTACAAATAGTGAGTCATGCTTCAGGGGTTTTTTGTTTTGTTGGTTTTTTGGTTTTTGTTTTTTTTTAAATCCCACACTATTATTAATTGTGGGAATTCCTGCCAACAAGGAGGTGATCTGTAGTCACCTAACCTACTTTTACTGGTGATTTAAGGAGTCCTCCAAAATGAATGTGTTGCACCACTTAATCAACTCAGGCTTTGCAAGCAGAAGATCCCATGAGAATCCTTAACACTCGGTTACTGGCAATAAAATTCAGCAAGTTGTAAGAAGGCCAATTAACTTTAAATATGACCATTTGGGCTTATCTCTCAATGGATGTTCAGAAAGCATCTATCCACCATGAATCTTCAGAAATGCTGAAGAATTATTTATAACATACTGGTGTGTATTTTTATGTCAATGAAATAGGAGGAGAGTCCTACACACTGCAGTGGGAACAGTTAAGTCTGAATCATTGCTTGCAAGATAATATACTTTAAAGAAGCTCAGGCAGGATTAAAAGCAACCCCTGCAAAAAGCCAGAATAGTTCAGTGTTAGATAGAGATGTTACATGTGGGCTGAAGAAGCGATGCCAGGCCCTAACCCTGTGAAGAGGAACATAAGACAGCTCTCCCATGCATTTTATGCCAACATATGGGATGAACTGCAGCACAGCTCCCAGTGAAAGACTTTGGGCTCCATTATCCCCGCGTCTCCATAGGCAACTGTCACTGCAGAGATCTCCACTGTATGTAAACAGTCAAATCCTGCACAGGCTTTCTGTATAGTGCATATTTTGCCATCAAGAGTCACGCAACCAGTCAAGAACGTTAACAAACAAATCTGTACAAAGGTTTCAACATACAAAGTACAATTCAAATGCGAAGTATGAAATTATATTACAGCAGTTCCTACAGTTACATCTAAAAAAAAAGGAAAAAAGTAGTTGCTACAGATTTTTTTTTTTTTTAAATATAACTACATGTGAAAGATTTGGTGCTTTCTCTTTCCAAATTCTTGTTTCCTGAATAGGGTTGGTATCTTTTAAAAAAAAAAAAAAAAAAATGGAAAAAAGCCATCATATGAAGCATGTTCTCTTACTTCGTTCTATCAGAAAGAACAGCTGAGGTCACCTGCTATATGTAAGATTTCTGTTAGGAAGCCAGAACAACTAGGTAGGGCATTTTTAAAAAAATTAACATGGAATTCAAACACATGGGCTACATCCTCTACCAAAAAGACAAATACAACAAACGCAGCAGCACACAATAACCTGTGTTTATGTATGTTCATCCATCATCACATCTGAACCCTGACAAGGGAAAAACATACCTCCAGAAATGAGATTACTGTTTCTTTGCCTGTTCATCAGCCAATAATGTCTGCTGCAACAGCCAACAAGCTTGATACTGGTGCCAGTTCTCATGATGTGGACACCTGTCTACTAAGAACTGGACTAAGAATATCGGCTAATTTTACACAGGTCACTGAAAAACAGACAGATGGTAATGACTTCAAGCATTACTAACCTGGGCCAAATTCAAATCAGTCAACTACAGGTATCTAACACCATATCCTGTTAAGCCTTTGAGTCATCTACTCTCAGCAGCTGAGGAAGACTGGACAACTGCCTAAAAAAAAAAAAATTATCAGCTTCACTTCACTTTACAGTCAGCTTCACTTTGAGTCCATTTGCAATCTAATAAAATAAAAATAAATTACAATATCCATTATGCTGAGCTATGGGACTTTGAAGGTATGCATGTGTTCCTAATAAGAGCTGATAATCATGTAGATATTTTTATTTTCTCCAAAACCAGAAAATTGTCTTTGCTCTTCAAGTTTATTCTGTGTTTATTTTTTGACTAAAGTCACTCCTCGTGTACTGACAGGAAATTAAACTCTTCAGAAATGCTGTTCATCAGCTGAACATCACACAGCCTAGAAGGGGCAGAGAAGCCCTCTCCTACCCCCTTCTTAGGGGAGACAATGGCCAACATATTTAATCCAACCAAGTACTCAGCTGCACTTTCACAGGTACGAGATGATGAGAAAGAATGTGAAGAGAGGAAGAAATGGAAAAAAAGGAAAATGAACGAACACGGTCCTGTTCCTTCTACTCATGAGCCAGCGCATGTGGCAACTTCCAAACAGAAAGCCACAGAGCTAACGCCATTTCGCTGATAGTGACACTTGCAGCTTGTTCCACACTCTACCTCACACAAATAAACAGAACTCCGGAGGAGAGTGAGCTCCAGCTTTCACCGACTGATGGGCAACCACACCACAACGAGCCAGCCACACGCTGTGGGTGACTGGCTCAGCTTGTTTAGAGCTACTGTCAGTGGGTTTTGCAGTCCACATCAGAGCCTTGGGCAGGAGGCAAGTCACACACCACCTTCTTTCTTTGGTCTGGCCATACAGTTGGCCATCAAAAGGAAGACGCCAGAGATGAGATGTTCTCTAAAAGTCACAATTCATTAAAATTAGCAGATACCTGGCAGCACACACTGATGCTGCCCTCACTAGCTTCAGTCCCTCCATTCCTTCTTACTTCCCTAAGTGCAGGCTTAAGTGTGATGAGTTACTGTATCATGAAAGTTCCAAATACACTATTACTTTTTTTAGAGTTACAATCCAATAGGGGTTTGAATTGGATCTTGCAGGCCCTCATGTCAAGAGTTTCTCAGGTAAAGTCTGAGACCATGCGAGTGTTTAAAATGACAAATCAGACCCAGGCCTTTTACTTCAAGCGAATAACACTCCTTTTAAGAAGTCTCTGGACTTTTACCATCATTTTGAAACTAATCACCAGTAGAAAGGTTACAAGGGAATTTTCAGAGAAAATCCAGCTTTTGCAGCTTTCAATAGTTCTCCTTTGTGTCATATACAAAATTCTGAAAAGCCAGTAAAAACTAGAGTCAGGGTAAAACTAGAAATACTTTTGCTTCGAAGTTTTACAGCTGAATCAAAATAGCACTGTGGTAACACTTCCAAGTTTTCCAGCAGATAATGCTTTTAATTAATCACACTACAAGTGCCTTAGGTAAACAACCTGTTCTTATAGAGTGGTTTTGACCAGGAAACCCACGTGCATTACAAATTGCTTTCTGAAATTCAAGATAATAATATAATGGAGCATACAGTGTAGGGAATGGAATTCACTTAAATTCCACCACACTATTTTCAAACACCATACAGCATTACTTTACTCACTACTCCCTAAATTATCTTCCCTTTACTGAAATTCAAAACTCTCGTGCATTTAAAGTTTTCTTAACAGCACTTGGGTTTTGTTGTTTGTGTTTTTTTTTTTTTTCTTTCCCTACACGAAACTGCCCATTCTGCTTTGTTTCATTACATTTCTACGTGAAATCTCTTTGCTTCTCTCTTGCTTCTTTAGATTCCCTCCCCCCCAAACTTAATGGAAATTTTCACTTCAATGGTCTTTAATAACCTTTTTCATAAACCCTTCCGGTTTTGTTTATTACACTACAAAACCTCACAGTGTTTAGTAACAGACAGCAACTTTTTAATTTTTTAAATCCATTTAATAAAGTTAGTTTGTAATGCAAGGTGTCAATCCAACAACATGGGTAACTTTGTTCTTCTCTTGAACCTCAATATAGCCATGCTCCTGCATAAGAAGTACCAAGACAAACTGTGTTGAGGTTCAAAACCCTCCTGAGAGACCGTTTCCACACTTGTAAGCATGCTCAGGCAATTTAACTTTTCCTCCATAACTACCAAAAATTGTGATAATTAATGACAGCATCTATAATTTGGATCCAGTTTTAGGAAATCTCCAAAATCTAATGTTTTCTACTTTGCTCTGCATGCTAAAAATCTTCATGAATTGTTATTTGTGGCAACTCTGGAAGAAGCCAGCAAAATCCAAAATTTGGCTACCTCTCCAAGTCTGATTTTAAACATAATTTGCACCAGAATTAGAAAGGGTTTCATTAATTTGAAGTTCAAAATCAGCATCAGTCAGACCTCGATGCGGCCTTTTGTTCTTAAAATAAAACCTTCATTTCATTTCGAGCCACGTGAAAACTAGATGGTGAATCAGCTTCAAGAATAAAACCAAAATAAATATTCTGCTGTTCATCAGAAAGTGATGTAGTTTTAACATTACCAAAACACACTATGCTTTTCATCTCTAAATATTCCCATCCCCTCTGACATTTTGTTTGCTGTGCTACAAAACTAGCGAGTGACCCGCTTTTAAGGTGCAAGTCCCAGTGGTCATAAAGATTTATCACAAAAAATAAAAAAAAATAAAATACAGGGGGTACTTGGTTTGTATAGTGTATATTTTAATAATTAATCCTCAGTTATTACTCTGAGTTATGACTAAAAGTCAAATCTGCTCAATTGCAGAAATGTCTTTCTTCGGTTGGGTTTGGTTTGTTTTTTTTAAAAGTTTTTCTTGTCAAATCAGGCGAAGATAACTTTTGCTGTAAGGAGATAGCAAGGCAGGCATCATTTAAAGAAACAAAGGATCTTTTTCCCCGTGCTTTACTTAGAAGTTCAAAACTCAAAGATGAGTGAGTGGTTTAAATGTTATAAGGAAAGAAGAACCAAGAAAACACCCAGTCTGTTAAGTATTCACCCAGAGGTGTTTTCCCCAGGCTGAAATCTGAGAGTTTTTTCCTCCCTCTATCATTTACTTCAATATTGCCATTCTAAACATTCAGGGAGATACAATGAACTTTTCCTCCTTGATAGCATTTTGCTGAAAGTCTGCAACACTTACTGAGGAAAAAGATCTATTCTTGCAAAATATCCTGCAAAGGACAACTGTATTAAAATAAAAATCAACATAAACTGTATGTCATATTACATATTTAGTAGTTGTTTAATTTTGGAAATCTGATAATGCTCATAAAGCATCTTTGCTAGATGACTAATTAGTTGGCATTCAACCTAAAATGATGCCAAACATAGCACATCTCTTGTACGCGTGCAGAAGTGTCTGTAACCTCTCCGCAGAGACGAAACTGCAAAAGGCTACTGGTTCCCAATGATTCCTCTGGGTGCTAATAAATTTAGCTTCCTTCTCACTTGACATATAAGCTAACTTACAGAAGGCCTCATTTATTCTATGTGCTCAAAATAATAAAGGAGTGATCAATGGTGCCAAGCGTTGTCTTTTAACAATCATGATCATGAATGTGAGCCCTGTATATGGCATGTGGGGAATGTGTTGGCATACATGTCAGTGTAGATGGATCACGTGTTTGAAGAAGGTACTTTCAGAGGAGGAAGAAAGTATTTCGCAACACAAACCTACGCAAGAATCTCATTCAATCCTGTATAGGAAGCAGCCTATAAAATGCTCGTTACAGCTCTGTGCGTCATAAGAAGGGCTGTAGCATTTATTCTAAAATCTCGGTTTTGGTTTGGTTTTTTGTTGGTTTTTTTGTTTTTTTTTTTTTTTTTTTACTTTCAAATCTGTATTTTTAAAATCTTTTTTCCAGATTATAAAATGAACTTTTATTTCATCTGGGTCCTAATGATTTTTGGTTCCAAGCCCCTGCACGGTAACATCAAAACCAATAAAGAACAGCAAGACTGCCTGCTTCTTCAGCAGCACAAAACTGCATCTTAACAGCCTGAGGCAGAAAAGGGGCACAAAAACCTCACCCGTGAAGGCAATTTCGAAACTCCTCGAATCTCCCAATTCCTATACAGCAATTAGGTCCACTACTTCTAAATCAAAGCTGGAGCACCTGTGGTAAAGAACTGGTGTGCCCAGGCACCTAAGCTCTGTTTTTCCCTAACGAGTGGAACAGAACCCACCAAATCTCTGACCCCTTAGGCTGCTAAACGTAGGCTTGTTTCTACCAGGACCCGAGCTGTGGCATTTAGGGGTCAAAAACTGCCAAAACCCAGAAGAATCTGCATGTTAGACATGTCCCTCCGTCCTCATCAAGCCAACGCACACCGGCTTTAGGGTTTTTTGTTTTTTTTTTTTTTTCCCCAGCGAAACAGCAGCAGCCCGAGCGCAGGGTGTGGGCAGAGCAACGAAGCGGGGGCTGAGCCCGGGCCCGCCCCGGCGGGGCCCCCGCGGCCGGGGCTGCTCAGCAACACCCCCCCCCCCCCCCCCCCCCCCCCCCCCCGGGCCCGCGGGGCCAGGAGCAGCCTCGCTGCTGGCCCTTCCCGCCCCGGAGGGCTCGGACCCCTCGGTGGGGAGAGGGGACACGCACACACACACACACACACGCGCGTTTTCAGTCGCTAACGGGTCGGTACAAGCGGCGAGCGCTGCGCCCCCCGCTCCTGCCCGGCGGCCCCCCCACCTGCCCCCCCACGCCGCCACCGTACCCCCGAATCCCGGTCGCAGCCGGTTGTCATAGCCATCCAGGAGGCTGTTCAGGATGCTGGTGAAATTCTCTGGCCACAATTTCTCCTCTTTTTTGCTCTGCCCCGGCGGCCCGGTGAGACTACGAGGCAAAGAGGGAACGAACGGGTGAGCGGAGCCGCCGGGAGCCCGCGGGGGCAGCGGCACCGGGACCGGCCGCCCGGGCACCCCCCCGCCCCGGCCACCGCCACCGGGGGTACTCACCACGTCGCCAGGCACAGGCAGTGCAGGAGGGCGATGGAGAGACCCGAGGACATGGCGATGGCTGGCTCCTTGACAGAAACCATCTTTGCATGCCATACTTCACGCCTGGGCACGTTAAACGCCTTGTCCGGGGCGGGGAAGGTGGACGCGGGGCCCGGGAAGGGGGGGGGGGGGGGGGTAGGGGGGGTGCGGCGGAGGCAGCCCCCGGCGGCTCTACATGCGCGGCGCCCCGGTTGCCAGGCGGGCGGAGGCGAGCCGAGTTTCCCCGCACCGTTAACTCTCTCGGGGCAACAGGCGCCGGTACCCGACGCTTTCCCCCCCCCACCCTCCGCCACCACCACCACCCCCCCCCTCGGCTCCCACCTCCGCCCCGCCCCGCCCGCGGCCCCGCGCTCCGCCCCGCTCTCCGCTCCCGGCCGCCCCGTGGCCCCCGCCGGGCCGGGGGACCCGCCCGTTGTTGCCCGCCGGGCGGGGTGCGGGGAGGTGCGACGGGGGGGGGGGGGCCCTGGGGGGCGTCGCGGAGGTGTCCGCGGCAGCGAAGTCTTCCTTCGTCCCGATCATCTCCGCTTCCCAAGGGGGGAACAAAACCAAGAGCGGAGGGGGGGGGGGGGGGGGCGGTGGGGGTGGGGGAGAGAAGCGGGAAGGGGAAGGGTTGGGGGAGCGATTGATTCCCCAGCGAGGAGGGTTTAGGAGCAGGAGGGTCCCTCCGCTCCGGTGTACGAGGAACGGAGGGAAGAGGAGAGGAAAGAGAGCACTGACTTCAAGGTTAAACGGAGCGCACCCGAAACGGATGGGTGTGAGTGGGTTACCCCGGGTTTCTACAAGCAAAAATGCCAGAATGAGGGAATGGTTTCACTTTTTTTTTTGTTTGTTTGTTTCCTTTTTCCTTTCCATTCCTATAATTAGGAAACAGGATTTGGTGACCCAAATAATTTCCATTATGCAAGGTCCAAGGGATTCTGCAACAATTAGAGTAAAATCCACTCAGAAGTGTTGCTAGTCTGTCACAGGCTACTGGGATGGCTGGGCGGAGAGAGGAAGAGAAGGGGGGAAGAAAGAGAAAGGGGGGGGGTGTCCCCAACACAATAGGTGTTGGCAATAAACGACTTGTTCTTCTTGTTCTTCCGATCGAGTGTGCTGCGGGGACGATTGTTTAGGTTTGGAAATCAGTGTGCATGTCAATTTTAATGAGGATGGGGAAGTTCATCGTGCAGGAGCACTTAGAGCAGGTATTGTAATTGACGCCGAGACTACAGTACTATCAATGCCAACATAAAAAGGCTTCATTCATTACTTGCTACAGTTTCTCCAAGTACTGAAATTCCCGATTATCTTCAAAAGTACTGTACACTTGAAATCTTCCTGATTGTACTTCAGAGCTCGTTCCAGCTAGGGTGCCCTTTGCCGATTCCTTTGAAAAACAATTAAAGTTGTGCTTGAAATCCATTTAGCTTGCCAATGCTGTTAATCTTTCAGAAAACTTTGTCTAGGCAGTCAGTTCTGCTTCCAAGTTTAAAAACCCTATTTAGGCCTCTGCAGATTACTAGCCCGCTTCCTGAGATTTTGACAAGATCCTCATCTCCCGACTGCCTCACAGGATCCCGATCTGACTGCCTTGCTGGAACGACAAACACTCTGCCCAAACCTCACAGAGAGGGCAGCCTACCTACGGACAGCACGCACACTCCACTCAGTATTTACAAGCCTGGACAGCGCAGACGGTAGGATGGCACGCCAAGGTCACTCCAGCTCCTGTGATGAGGCTCTGGGAGCAGCCCGTTTAACTCCACACGCAGGTGAAAACCAGCACGCCAGCAAGAGTCCACTGCCCCTGGCTTCATTAGCAATCTGATCAGGAATGATGGAAGGATGGATCAGCAGCTCTTCCGGAGTCTAATTTCACCACATCAGATAAGTTTGCCTGGGTTAATCAGCCACTTTTGATCTTCTACGAAGCGATGTAATTTGTTTTTCTGCACCAGTCTTCTGCTATAGCATGGACTATACTTCGAACTGGCCTCCAATAGAGCCTCTAGTTTTTCTGTCCGTTGCAAGAAAAAGTAATCCCTTTTTGCAGAACATTGAAAATATTTCTGAGGTTATCTGATCTAGGGATATCTCAGAAAAATTTTGCTGGCAGAAGCAAGAAAAGAAGAACTAAAGCAAGGTCAATAGATGGTAATTGAGAACTGGGAAGAATCCTGCTGGCTAGTCACAGACACAGAGCAAACTGCAGCTCTACAGCACTGCCACTTCTAGCAGCTGACGTGGAAGAAAGCCAACAACACCCTGGCAGAGCCAGGGACACCTTTGGGTTTAGATTGATTTACTACCTTCTGCATATGTGTAGACACCTGTGTGAAATGAAATAGTAAAGTCAAGTGGTATTCACCAGTAATGATCTCCCCACATGAATGTCCTGAGAAATGTCATCACTCAACCCCCTCTCAAATCCATGCCTGGAGTCATAAGGAGCACAGATGCCATAGGCCCAGTAGTTCTGCTACAGGTAGAAATCAAAGAAACTCACTCAGTTATCTCCCTTGCAGCAATTTTAGAGACTTAGCTGGTCTTTGAATGATTCCCAGGTTCTTTAGAACAAAGAATAATATTATTGATACCTTTTGCCTCTTTAGTACAGGTACTTCAGTAAAGGTAACATCAGGTTGAAAGATTTGTGGATGTGCCATGTCAGGGCACCAGGCAAGAAGTACTCATGGCTTTTAAGAAGATGCTTATGTTGTATTTTCTAAGAAAAGATAGATATAGTGCCCATGTGTCACACCCTCCCTGCCACAAGTTTTATTGGTGTAGGATCCAGGTGCCATCTGGGTGCATTTACTCCCTAAAAGTGTTAAAACTACATGAGAAATCACTTTCTCTAAACCTAGAAAATTAATTTTAACACTTCAACACTTCTAAAATTTATCACTGGTTAATATCTCCCTTAGATCTAGCAATGACTATCAAGAGCTCAGTAAGATTGATACCAAACCCAGAGATTGTTGTCCTTGATATATGAAAAACTCTCCCATTTGTATATTGCCTTGGCTAATTTCAACATTTTTTAATTACATTTTAAGAGATATTCTAGATTCTTTTGTAGCATAGACAAATACAGAAACTCCCAGGGTGCTTATTTGTCACCAGCAGATGTATGCTGATTTTAAAAATACTGCTTCAAGTGGTCTTTGCTCACTTCAAAGAATTTCTGGGTTTATCATCTCTCTAAAAGAACTTGATGACTCCAAGAAGAATTTAGTGGTCACAGGCCGGATTGATGCTCCCTAAAAATGTTTGCTGAATTCAGCATTTTCTCAGCTTCTCCAGCTTTTACCACCAATTTTTCCAAGATTTCTCAGAAGAAATCTCACCCATCATGGACTATTGTAAGAAGGGGACTATTTTTGCCCAGCTCCATATGCTCAGAAAGCACTTGAAGATCTTAAACAGATTTTTTTTTTTTTTTTTTTTTTACTGCCCCTATGTTGATGTATCCTCCTAATGATATTTGATGAAGCACACATTCTGGCCATGCCTCAAAAGCAGTTTTATCCAAAGCTATGGATCTTCAAGTATAGCTTGATCATTTTTTATTTATCACAACACACAGAAGAGCAAAAAAGTTTTTCATCACTCTTCTCATTTCTACTTTATCATCAGATTAAGTGGAAAGAAAAAGGAAGTTAGTACTTTTCTTGTGGAAGGCATTATCTAATCTTTCAGCTTGTTTTTGTTTTATTTTGTTTTTTGTAAACTATAGGCTCCACCAACAGTACAGGTTATATAGGTAAATTACAGCTTACATCCTTTTCCCTAGAAGGTTTTGTTATTCAGCTGATTTTGACTTGATTTAGTTCTGGAATCAAATCCATAAATACAGCCAAGCTTATATGGAAAAGACTGGGAAAACCTTTAATGCCCAACTATATATTGTATAGCTAGAAGCCTCTAACACTTAGAAAAGAGGAGATAAAACTAGGGTCACTGCCAAGCACCCAAATGTTTCTTTATCTGAATAGCTAATTCATTGAATTCTTGGACTTCTTACAGTTTCTGCCCATATCTATGGAGTTTCTTACAGTCTTGATCAAACAGCTTGTCTTCACATACATCCTTTTTAAAGGTCAGGGGCTGAATTTCCATTCTTTGGAAAACGTATACCCCAATCCCATTTTTGGTAGGTGGCCAAGAGAAGATATGGATACCTTCTCTGTATACAGCTACCTAGAGGGTCTTTCACTCTCCTCCTTGCACCTCCTCAATGGTGCAAGGGGTCTTTCACACCCCTCCTCTCCTGCATCCACACACATTAAAGAGATCATGGGAACCTACAGAAAACCCACCTGTCCTTGGCTTTGTCAAGACTTTGATCTGGAGCTCAGGAGAAGCCTGAACTATCTATTCAGGGAAGAGTTTTCCATCAGTGGGGATGCCAGGATACTGTGGGCCTTAACTGCGCCTCTAGCGACGTGTTTATGTTTAAGGAGTCTGGATTTTGGGTCTATTGATTGCAATTTAAGTTCTGCTCCGGGAGCAGTAAGATAGATGCTTAAGCTCTTTCTGGCTCATCTTCCAGACCAGTTTTCCCTGCCTGCTGTAGTTCTTGTAGTTTTCTTCCCAGCTTCTTATTTCAGAATCTGATCACAAAGTTGTTAGCTCCAGTTTTAAAAGGATCCCATTGCATTCGTTGTAGAAAATGTGTTAGCAGATGCACTTCCTTCTCTCAAGAACTTACAGTCTAGATAGATAAGATTAAGTTAGGGTGGGACACAAGAAAGTACTATTATTTCTGTTTTGCTGGGAACTGAGACGCAAAAAGCCTAAATGGCAATGCAATACCATAACACCATGTAAGAAACTTGCAGCAGAACAGGAGATTAATTCCAGTGTGTGGCATCCCAGGTCAGTTCTCCGATCACCACCCCAGCTGTCCTTTCAAAGCACAGCATAAGCTCTGTCTAAAACTGAACCTTCAGCCAGCCCACCTTTGCTTCACTTCCATGGCCAGAACTCCTACAAAACTGCAGGAACTGATGCCGACATGCATTTAGCCATGTATTTTTTCCTCTGACATATGGTATTTACAAGACTGTTCTATAGTACCATGGATATTTTAACACACATGTCCTGGATTGCTTGGAATAAGTCTAGAAAATCCTTTGAGTACAAAATATATATATATATGTGTGTGTGTGTGTGTGTGTGTGTGTTTATACATACACATATATATTTATATATTGCTATTACTGATTGCAATAGGATTTATGTGGATTCTTCTAGCGATTGACACATGGATGTTTAAGGAGGTG